TCATGTAGGTCTTATGGTCGTGAAAATACGGTCATACTTATCTTCGACTCAAAAGCTGTGCTTATTCAAAGCCCGCCATGTACAGGGACCTGTTCGTCAATACAGTGGTTTACAAACCTGAATTTCACCAACAAGGGCGAGACAGTCTTCCACGCTTATCTTTTGAAAAACAGACTTGACAAAAGTATTTGGCACAAGGTGTTGGAGTTCCTTCGACGACTATAAACGTCCATGGCACTGAATGAATTCAAAAAACACCTTTGATGAATTCCGGGTTTACGGCAATCAATTTTCATCAAATCCCATCGATTCCTATTGAAAGTCTCCAACTCTACAGCCTGTTTGCGGCTTGTGGACTTTGAAAATTGGACATCTTTCTCATCTTTAAGACCATACGCTACTTGAATGAGAGGATGCTAAATAAGGTCCGTCCTGTCCTGTATCTGAATGAGACACACCAAAAAGTACGCCGGATGATAAACTGGCTTAATTCGACACTATTTCACAAACACGCAACAATTGCAAGGGTGCGGGCTTGTGGTACGAGTGTTTATCTCGATCCCAGCGTGAGCTCCGATGTCAATACCTCAGTGCGCCTCTCTCCGAGGAGGGGGGGATGCAAACACGGCCTGTGTGAAGTGGCTTTATCGTGGGAAGACACACGTGCGGGCCGAGAGACGCGTGCGAAGGCATGAGTGGCGGGCAAGCGACGCTATTAAGATACAGGCGCTATCGCTTGACGCCAGTGCCCGGTTCACACTGGCACGGGGGTCTCTGGACACTCTCATCGGATCCCTTGCGCAATTTCGCCGACAAAAGTGGAGACGGCGCGTGTTCGTCATATCCTGGGAATGCTAAGCCTCCACGCGGGTGAATGGATGGGCAGACATGGCACAAGATGAAGATGCTGATTTAATGAGTTGTGGGCTTAGCTGGGCTGGGCTGGGCTGGGCGGAAGGCTGGGTGGAGCTACAGGACTCTGGCGGATTTATTTTCAGGTAACAGCTTCAGGACAATGGAGCAAGCTTTTCGACACTTTTACACTAAGTGCAGTGTGAAATTTTATTTTCAGGTAACAGCTTGAGGACAATGGAGCAAGCTTTTCGAAACGTGGGTATGCCGGCTAGCAGGGCACTGTTGTCTTCCTGGGCCGCGGCGCGACCCTTTTACACTAAGTGCAGTGTGAACAGGGCTTTCCGCAATCGTTGTGGACCGCGGAGCTTTTCCCGCAAAGCAAAGTGCTTCGAACAAACGTTCTGCCGGAAACATCGTCAGACGATGACTTGCATGGGAAATTAATTAACAATCTGTACGCTTTGTGCAATTCTTAACTCATTACTAATTAGCCCTAATTAGATTTTTGTTGTTGTTGTTTGTTTTTTTTTTTTTCTCTTCCTTCAAAACATCAAGCCGGTTAATTAGACCGCTTCTGGGTGTCATTTGTTGGTAACGTGCGGCTGGAGCAGACAATGCAAGAAGTGGCTGAGAGGGAGCCTGTGTCGCCGCGGAGTTAATGGAAAGACGAGAACTGGGAAGATGCATCGAAAAGAGAATGATTTACTGAGGGGCCGACCCGAGAACTGCAGATAGAAAGTCAATGAAAAAGTTCAGAAGCAGTATGACTAGAGCAACAATTGTTCGGCAACGTAACTGTAACCCGGTCGATAGAACTCATCTTCGAACTTGGGACTTTGACAGCTATTCCGCATGCTGCAGTTTTATGGTTTCGATTTACATTTTGGTTTTGTCTCATGTTGTCTTGGTTTCTCGAGGTTTTCCATCTTGTTCCCGCCGGTTCGGTTTATGGCTTCCGCCTGTGCACCTCAACCCGGTTCTTTTTGGTTTGTTACTTTGAATCTCGGTTTTTGGCCTTTTGATTCTTCCTCTTCCCTTGCCTCCCTTGCCTCCTTGCGTTTGTCTCCTGACCTTGCAAAACCCCCAACAACACTCGAAATCAGAGATGTCCAAACCCTTGAGGGCCACTCCCTAGCATGTTTTTTGACCTTGTCCCGCCTGATCGTTATCAGGCTCCTGCAGAGCCACCATTTGACTCAGGTGCGTTAGATGAGGGAAAAACTGAGCGAGGCGCGCATCGTTCTTTCTCCCCCTCCCCCCACACACACACACACACACACACACACACACACACACACACACACACACACGTCTCAAAGCTGTCAAGATGTTGCCTCTTTCAGTCTCGGTCTGAATGGGGGGATTTGGCAACGTTTCCCCCCCATCTCCACTCGCTATTGCAGCAGTCGTTTTTTTGTTTTTTTTTCCTTTCCTTTTCTTTTTTTTTTCTTTTTTCTCCCCCCAAGAGCACACACATGTTTATGCACCAAATCTCTCCGCACTTTGTGTTTCACCACGTCAAGGCACAAGCTCAACCCTGGATTGATGCGCCCTGGCAGTGCCACATTCACACCCCCATACCCCCCCCCCAACACCCTCCCGTGCGCACTTGCTCTCAGGGAGTCGGCCAAACGTGCGAGGGGAACAAACGCAAAAAAAAAAATAAATAAAATTTTAAAAATCTCTCGAGCGAGGAGTGAAATTTTTTTGCTGATTTTCGACACAGGCTTTGTGGTCCTGGAAGCCTGTTTATGTGTGTGTGTTTTTTTTTTTTTTTTTTTTTTTTAAAGACTATTGGTGAAGAACAAGAGAGAAGAGATTGTGCTATCCATTGCCTGGGGGCTACGCTCAGCCTATGTATTTAAGCCCCCCACTGTTCCACGCTAAACAATAACGCCCACTAGTTTTAATTTAATTCTGCCATCTTTTTTTTTTTTTAAACTAAATAATCCACTTCCATTTTCTCTATGTCACAGATGGAAGGAAATCTAAATCTCATCGCATCCACGCAAGACTACCTTCCTCCGTCGTCACCCAGGCCCGATAAGAAACAATAACGCGCGCTGGTTCGCCCGCACAAAGAATACAGGGAAAAAAAAAAAGATTTAATATAAGTTGCGAGACATCAGTTTAAAGGACAGTTAAAAAAAAAAAAAACAAACTTACCTTCCCTAAACATCCCAACATCACACAAAAGCGGCTGCCCACGTGAAGCAGCGTGCAGCCTACACCCACTCGCCATCATTACCCGGCCGCAAGTCACCGCGTTGCTTATGGTGCGGACGATATTTACATGGATATTTACATCAGACTCGCAGTCCCGACGCGGTCGGCGCGCATCGCTTTGAGGCCTTGGACTTTGACTTCAGACCATTAGCCGTCACCGCAGGTACACCGTGCAGCATGTCACCCGACGCCGGCAGCCTTTTTGGCCTTTCATTTTTTTTTTTTTTTTTTTCCAGCGAACCAACA